ATGTTTAATGAGTTTTAATGTTTAGTTGTATTAGGTAAAATCAGTGTAATATTTCAAACCGATTGTATAGGTAGCGAATAAAAATTGTGTAGGGATGTTGTGTAAACACCCTAGTCATGTCTGTATAGTCAGGACTTCAGCCCCTTCAAAACGCACACGCTATTTGCGCCTATATATTTTATTATTATTTATCTACTCAGTTGAATACTGGCAGCTGAGAAAACTAAAAACTTAGCAAATATTGATATCAATGCACTTTGGGCGGCTTTTTTTTTATTCATACGTTTCAATAATAGCGTTATAATTATTTGAGTACAGGCGAGGTTACGGATACTCAGTGATGTAAAAATACCGTATTATATTTTTTATTTGTATAGTACGTGTATTATACAGTATTTAAAAAAAAATTGTTTGGCGTTTAGGTACATTATTGTTAAGTGTAGTTATCCAAGTATAGTAAGATCAAAACTATTGCAGTTTATTGGTGAATAATGATCCATTTTAAATATTGAATTAAATAATTGCAGTTATGAGTTAGATAATAGTAAATACATAAAAATGTATTGTTTCTAAGTTTTGAATATTAGGTTTTAATATTAATTTGTAAGTGTTTACTGTGGTTACACAACTATCTAAGATTGTGTTTAACACACACTAATTCAGAAGCTCTATCTGTAGTTGAACATTAAACCGCCATGCCATCGCCACCGCTGCAGTTTGTGGGGACCAGCTGTCGTGGCCGTCGTTATATCACTATTACTAGTTGAAACAGTATGCATTGCATATTGTATTATGCAATTTACATCACTGCGGATACTATATTATTATAATATATAAGAAAGTTAATATTCTAAATTTTCCAGTCCGATAACTCAAAAATCGTGGATAAAAATGAATGTAAAAACGGCGGTGGGAAGAATATTAATGCACGTCAACGTTCAAATTAAAAAAAAAAAATAAATATAGTTATGTATATGTATACCACTGTTGCAGTCTTACAGTGTAGAGGGCGAGCGAACCGAGACGAGGGCTCGACATCCGGAGCACACATAATATAATATTAACTTGTTTTTCAAATGATAAATGAAATAAAAAACAATAATAACACCTAGTGTTATTTTATGGGACTGAATCTGTTCACGATATTATCTTTATCCGTCGAAATATTCAAGACGATGACGTCGGTACGAGCGATTTTGCAGAACATTTGAAATTCTTGTGTGGGAAAATCGTTTTACCTCGAAAATGAATGTGATTTAACGTAAACAGGTTTTGATGAAAATAAAAGAAAACAATTTCTTTTATGGATTAACGTGTGTCCATTTATTATATACAAAAAGTTACGTTTTTTTTTCTATTATTATAAAAAATAAACTCCACGTTTTATTCTCGAAAATTTATCAGTATACTATCGCCTCATTATTCGAGTAAATGGAAAATCGATAAATGCCGAATCCAAGTTAGTACTGCTGTGCATAAGGAATAAAAACTATGAAATCGCACTTAGAATTAAGGTACTTTTTTCTTTTTTGGGGTGAACATGTCTTTTGAACATATATTGTATAATGGCAAGAGATTGAGAAATGAGATTCTCAACGGAGCGAGGAATGTTTAACACTTTTTTATTTATTTTTTTTGAAAAATTAAGTAAAAAAACGAATATAACAGGAACCCCCTTAAATATTTTGAACTTACAAAGTCCGTAAATATTTTTTTCATTCGAATCGTACGCGAGTTGCAGTGATAATACGACTATCCTGTTTAATCAACTCGGCGTTTGTCCGGTATGGTTTTGTTTTTTCCCCTCTTTCTAGAAAATATAATAATAGTGACGTTTTCCTTTCATTCGCTGCACAAATCCATTTAAACACATAATGCGTTAGAACACCGCGTGCATAATATTACCCGTATCATATTATTATATTTGTAAATAAAATTTCACTCTGTGTCTCAGTAATATCGTAGAGTAGCATTATTATCACGACGCGCACACAATATACGACTGGTATACTTTCGACTTAACGGGTGTTTTTTTTTCCCCGAGATTATTATTCGTGCACGTCCGTATATTATTATAATAACGTACGACATCGGCTGCAACTGCTACGGTGCAGGTCCAACGAAATAAAACCATCTTTCCGGTGTACGACTCGCAATTGGTTTGTAATAATATGTCGTGTATACAGGGCGAATCTTTTGCTACGAACCACGGACTGTCTACGAAGAATTTTAATACGATTTAAGATGCGTATAAATATCTTTTATTCGTTTTGACAGTTTAAAGTTTAAGCGGGCGCAATAGAGAAATGTTGAAATCATAATTCTCAAACGGTATAATATAGATCACCCGATAGATTATATTGTAACGTTGTGCTATGCGTAAAATCAGTATTTGTAGAGAAACATTGTCTTTTTGAATCGAATCGATATACGCAATATGGGTAAAATTTTGAAAATATAACCGGTGTACACGAATTGCGTCTCGAAATCCCTTTTTCCACACGAATTGTATCCCGACGATACTTAAACATTACACAAATTGCGTCCCATCGTAAAAAACATTTTTTTTTTTCTATTTTATTCTGACTTAGGATTTTCAATGGAAAATTATCACTATAAAACATACTGAATGTAATTTAAGATGGCGTGACACCCGCATATGCTGTCTCTGTACAACAAACTCACCATGGTATAACAAATTTGCGTTCAGCAGGACCAATTATTTGTGCCATTAGCTTTAATATTAGAGTAAATTTACCAATTATCAAACCTATAGACGAGAATATTATCTCTGAGAATCTGCACTGGCTTTTTTTTTCGATAATTTAATTTTAAAGCGACATATAAGCATTTTTAAATAAGTTGTTATATTTCACATACTCATATCTGGCTTAAAAATACATACAACGTAAAAACACACAGATAATGTTCTTGCCTATACGTTTGATAAAAAGTCAATCCAATCTAAACTGATAGTACAAAATCGGTCCTGCTGAATGTAAATTGACTATGTCGTACGTATTTAAAACGGCGATGATACGCGTGCGGGTGCAAAGTCTTTCTAAAAAATTCTATATAATGTCTGACAAAAAAAAAAAATAATAAAAAAAATACCAAAACCGAATTTACTCGAAATCTCTGATCCGTGACAATCGTTACCTGCTCCGTGTAAAAAAAAAAAATCTTGTATTATGATGTCGGTTTTATTATATATATATATATATATATATATGTATACAAATATACGTGCGTTTAGAGGAAATCACATGTCCCGCTTAATATATCGCTGGAATGGTAATAATAATAGACGGTGAATTTACAGTTTATGGTCGTTATTGCGTTACTCTATATATCTATACATTATTATAATACATATGTCGTATACATACCCGTATACAAAAACCATTCAGAAGCCTTCGGGAGAGGAAATCGTAGTCGTTGTTGTTGTTGTTGTTATTACAGGGCGACTGCAGCGCTGTTGGTGGCATTTATGTGAGTTGAAAACGTAAAATGTCGAGGGACACGAGGTGATCCATCCGGAAAAAAATAATATTATAACGGTATGTTATTAGGTTTATACCCGCCGCCGCAGTGTCATTATTATGATTATTATTAATCACGTAATATTTTTATATTGTTTATGCCGAAGGCGGCCGAGTGATTAGATATAATACAATAACATCGTTTCCTCACGGATCATCGTCGGCGGTAATAAAATGTAAAACATCGACGAACAGTAAAACTCCGTCATTATAGAGTCAAATAATTGTCTCCCCCCCCCCCCAGATAATTTGTCGCCATTAGGATATTTGATTTTTTTTTTTGTATCTATCTAAAAATATAGTTGTGGAGTTCTATAAGATTTTAATGCCCAGAGATATTTAAAACCTAATGATATGAAAAGAACCGATATTTACGAAGCGAAAGATCGAGTCAAGTAGAAGTTAGAAACAGTAGGAACCAAAACGAAAGAGAAAAAGAAAAGGAGTATTTAAAACTTGGCATTTCTTGAGAAATCGCGATAATTTCAGCATAAAAAGAGTTTTAGAGAGGATGGTTGAAAATTGAAACCACCCAAGGGCACATCCTTGGTTCTTAAACCATGCATATTACACAAAACATCATCTTGCTGACTTTATTTGCAGGGGAGTCCATGGGAGTTTTCAACGCTAAAAAAAAAATCCTCTTCCCGGCTTCACAATAATTTGTACCTGTATATGCCCTTGTCACTACTGTCTATACATCGAGTTTCCGTTTCGAATACTGTATAGTGGGCGTTAAATTATACGATGTATAAATAATAATATTTATTTTTCTATAGATTTCTAAGGAACGCCAAAATAAATTAATATGACGACGATCGACTACGAACGCCTGAAACATAGGCAAAACAATTGCCACGTGTAATACTCATAGTGCCATCTGTCGGATGCTTTGACGAGAACGATTATTGTTCGCGGCACTTGTAAACTACGCGTAATACAAATCACGGTCAAAAGGTCCAAGGATGTTGTGTACAAATTCCGGAAAAATTTGATGGTTTATGATTATTATTTTTATGAAATAAAACCTAAAATAGGCAACTAAATAAACCTCTCTGGCCTATTAATCTTCAAAAAGTGATGGTACAATAATAAAAAAAAAAAATTTTAATGTATACGCGTATACCCGATAACAAATGTAATAATTATAATTTTATTTCACAAACTTTTTACACGACCGTCAAAAAATGACGCGTTCGGATTTTTTAGAACATTTTCTAACGGGACTTTTCGAAACCGTTTCACGGGCCAACTCGTATATTGTGTTACGGTGTTACGTTTTAAATACACCAAAATACATGGGTCGTTCGGAATTTCAATACTTTATTCGAGTAAATTACGAATACCGCACCGTTATACCGTTGGGTTTTTGCTGGAAATGTGATTTGTCCGGCGCGGATTCTTCCTATCGGTCGGTGCGGGGTTCCCAGGGATTCGCGTAGTGATGGTTATTCACTGTTAAACCGGAGACCAACTTTGAGGGACTCCGAACGAAAGAGTGCTTCCTGCAAACGAAACCGAACTTAAAATAAAGTCTTCAGGCCGAAGGGCGAGGGCCCCGCCGCTGAATTCGCGTGCCCATACGTCGCGCCGTTCTTCTTCTACTTCTTCTCCTTCCGGGCTTTTACAAGCCTTTAAGGCCCATCGCCGCAATAACAAATATTCTCCATCCTGCTCTATATTTTACACATTCTACCGCGTTCCTTGCATTCAAAAGATTCAGGTCTTCTTGTGCTCTACCGATCCGTCTTTGTCTAGGCTATCCTCGAGATCTCTAGTGTCGGGTCTCCATTTGTTTACTGATCCAATCATTCGTTTTGGCCTCCGTGCATTCATTGTCCGACTTATCCTCGTATTTTTCAGGGTCCCAATAATGGTGAGCTCCTTGTAGAGATTTTCCGAATCCTCGTTGTTTCTCATTTGATACTCTTCATCATCATTTGTGCGTCGCCATTGGGTTTTGAAAAAATGAAAAATACGCCTCCACGCCCGCCGCGGTTTATACGTGAGTCATCCTCGTAACCCGATGACTCACGCGTGCCGATCCGAGTTTTCGGCGGCCTGCCATCGATCCGCCGAACACCGGAAGCATTTTTCCGCGTTATCCTGGTCGCGACGTACCGTCACGGCCATGTTGTATTTTCGACACGACGAGTCGCCCGTCTTTATTTTCGTCGTCGGTATGCCGCACACTGTTCACGAATCATACAGCATAACAATAAAATACGCGATGACGTCGCACACGTACGCCGCCGTGTAAATAAGTACGCCCCTTAAGAGAAACGAAATGAAACGGGCGGGTGCATGCCACGCATTGACACGCATCACGCACAGGTCCGGGGTGGTTATTTTACCACGAATCTAGGGCCAGCGATAGTCTATTCAGTGTTGAAGTGTCGAATCCAGACAATTTTTCTGGGAGTGGGGAGGGGGCATAATTATAGTAATGGCCTTTTTTTTTTTTGATAATCTACCCTCTTGTTCTCTAAGACCAGTCAAATTTATTTAATTATTTAATAATTTAATGAACTATTAATTTACACAGATTTAACAGAGGGGGGGGCAAACAAAATTCCAGGAGGGATTTCGCCCCCCCCCCCTTGAAATATACCGGAATTCAACATCCGAACATTTCGAATCTGAGTTTAAAAAATGCGTGTTGATGTCATTTTGAAAACCAAATGTTCGTATTACGTGGATTGCGGTATAGATACTTAATGAGGATAATATTTTGAAAATATTGTATACGTAAGATCATCAGACAACCCCGTATAATAAAATTGTAAAAAAAAAAATCGAATGTACTCAAAATCTTCGCGGATAATCGCTGTAGTCCGTGATAAAATAATCACTCTACATAAATAAAAAAGTACATTCAGGTACCTGTTATAGGCAACATTATATCGCGTGCACGCCGCAGACATTGTAGTATTTCCTTATAACAACCTGCAACCTGCCCGTCAATGTTTTATGATAAGCTATTTACTGGCGGGGGAAAAAAAAATACGATTTTTATGCATTTAAACTCGGTATATGTATAGTAGGTTATTGTTCGGTTATATTATATATTTGTATACGCGGTAGACGGAAAATATATTATTACGATATTCTGTTGTATGCTATTTGTACGTCTATAGAACCTACACAGGCCTCCGTGGTATTACCCCGAACGCGTTCAATTGTAACGAGCCGCGATGTTTGTGGGGGTCGGCTCGTTATCACAACACGTACGCGTCGGAGTGTAGTTCAATAAGTTGTGGTTTATTCGGGTGTTACAATACAAGAGCATCCGTGATGACGGTATGGATACACGCGTTGATCGATACAGTCGGGGTAACGTTTATTGAGGGGTTGTAGTTACGAAAATATTATAATCGTAACGATTAAAACCAGTAGGAATCTGTTTTGTTATCCGGCAACAAGTAATGATAAATTACAACGAGGTGTTTATACGTTGTTTAGAAACCGCGCCTGACTTACAAAGCGAGAGGCGGCGATAAGCTAACGTGCGCGCGATTCGTGCACACCGGGCGATGGACGGGAAAAAGAGTCGCTTTTTCGCGGAGCGCGCGTACGCGTACGGCAAAACCGCGAGGCAGTGGTAGACTGCTTGCTCGGGGCGTTCGTTACGGTAATGGTGTCCGTGGATTGCGCGGACTGCTGCTGGACGGCGGCGTGCCGCAGCCGCTGGGAGGACGACACTTGGAACTCGGTCGGGTGCCACTGGAACACTGCTGTTCGGTCGGCCGAGTCTTGACCCTTTCGAGCGTAGCGTCGCTTTGTGCGGCGGCGGCGGCGGCCTTTTCGCGGTGGGGACTCGTGACGTTGTTCGCGCCGACATGGCATTTCTGTTTTTGTCAGATGGTATCTCGGTGGGCACGCGGCAAGTGTTATGATGGTTTGCCTATCATGCAACTATGCCGTTACACTTTAAAAATATATGCAATGAAAACACGTTGAAATACGCGAAGAAAATAACTGAACGGGGAAAAAAAAACAAATGAATAATAATTAGTTATTAATATTTATTTAACTTGTAGTTAGTCTCTGAGATACAAAAGTAGTAAATTATACCATCGGACCTTCGAAGAATGCATAAACATGCGATAAACAAAAATCAAATTACGCTTCTCGAGTGTCACTGTAAAAAAATAGTCAAGTCAAAGTAACTGGTTTTTCAATCTGGTCTTACTTGAATTTAATGTTGTGACACGAGACGGATCTGTTTATTGCTAAAATTACGAATTGCATTTTCAGGTAAATAATAATACTTTATCTAAATCTGTTTTATTTAGTAAAACCGGCTTTGTGGTGGATATGCAAAAAGTGAGAAATGTTAGACAAATATAAAAACAATTGCGAAAACGGGTGTTAGTCGTAGACGAAATCGAATAAATTGGTAGCTAAAATACTGTGGCAATATTAACTTTAATAACCTAATGGCCTGAGTGAATATCACTATGAATAATGGTAATTTTAACTATGATTTTTTTTTTAAATATATATTATACTGTTATCAAATTATTTTTTCCGTGTATTCGAAAGAAATTGTGTAACTTATTTAGGTGTCTCCGAGACCTATCGAAACAAACATGTAAATGCTACAAAAGTTACCGGCCCTGGTTGTGACTCAATGCCGTAAATTCTCGACCGCTTGAAACCGATAATATCGATGTATACAGGTATTTTCAGTGGTTTCGAATTTTCGGTTTACCGACGTTGAGTACTTGTTAAGACGGTCGAAATCGGTCGTATTTTTAGTATTATTTTTCGCGGTTATTTCATTACAGGCCGGTTAAAAGATACGTGTGATGTGTGTGTGTGTGTGGGTGGTGTTATATTATTAACTCGAGGAGTGTAACTTGAAATTTCAAAACCTCCGGTCGTCCTGATAGCGCCCCGCTCTCGCGTTATTTATTATAAACCGTCGAAAAGTTGCCAACGAAATACGTTCGTACATAAATAAGGACTCTAAATAGTACGTTTCCTTTTGACAGCTGCGGCAGTGCACAAGACGCGTTGCGTTAAATCGCTCTCGGTCCCCCCCCCCTACCCAAACAAACGGCACGAGATGTTTAACATTATAAATGTACTTAGATATTATAATGTATACGGGGCGGTTTTTATATCCCGCGAACCAACGATCGTCTGTGCACCAGGACCGTGACCATACGCCGGATACTAGGGTTTAATTTCGAAAATATCACAGTAAACACGATCGTCGAACTGTTCCGCGATACAACGATTGCACAGTGTTTTTCCCGAACACCATTTTTTTTTTTTTCCCCGAGATTCCTTTTCCCGAACCCTTTCACCCGAACGGTAAATTTCCTGAACAGTATTCAATCGAAACGTAGGTAAAGAGTTGCAGATTTCCAGAGGCGCGCGTATAAGGTATCACCACGGATTAAGCAACCTCGAATGACTCGAACCTCATAATTGGATTTGGCTCATGTACTTCGTAATATCTTGTATTGCAATATCTCATTTTGCCGTCTGGGAAATATTAACAACGTGTTCAGTTTTAGTTTGGGCCCGAATAAATGCCTATTAATAACGACGACTTTAATTGGCCGTTGATGCGTAAAAATAATGTACGAGAAATTCATATTGAAATATGCCCACTATTTGCGACAAACAGACTGAAAGATTGTTCGGGAAAAGTATGGTACCCGGGAAATATGCCGTTCGTGAAACCCCGCGCATAACTATTGTGAAAAACGTAAAACTCTAATTCGCTCGAAATATCGACGACGGTTGGTGACACGATACGGGCATAGTGGAGTGGAAGGGTTGAGAACGGAAACGACGGGGAAACGGCCGTACGTCGTGTACACCGCGCGAATCGCGCGACGGTCCGTCGGAGGGGAAATGAATACAATAATGAGCTGTACAAAACGGTAATAATAATTATGCGCGCCGCCGTCCACGCGCGATAGTAAGCACAGCTGTACGACATCGGAGTAAAAGCGAAACTGCGCGTCAACGGCTAGTGCCGCGTACGAACAACGTACGAACAAACGCGCTCCCGTGTACACGCGGACATTAAGTACGAGCGTTACGCGGCGGGACGGCCGGCCGGGACGAGAGGCGACGATGGAACGTTCGTACGCGGATTTACTCTCGGGCACGCGACGATATCGCGCGGAGTGCCCGTGCACAACATACAGAACGAACCGGGCGTTTCGTTCTACGGCGGGCCGTACGCGGAACCCGAATTAAGCCGTAGGAAACGCAGCCGAAAGTGTACGTTCAGCTCCGCGACAGCTTCTGGGACGCGTAAACGTGTTCAACGTTTAAAGAAAACAAAGGTGTAAAATTCATCTTTGTAGATTACTATCAGGCCCTCCTCGCGCGGACGTCTCAGAAGAAACCGTAACCGACTAGATACTAGGATGCTGGACCATTAAGAAACCGCGCGCGCGCGCGCGCGTGTGTGTTTGGATGACGTCGTTCAGACGGCGCTACCGAAATCGCCGCTGCCGACAACCGAACGCGATCAAGCCGACTGGGCGACATATTAGACACGTCAGTCTCCCCGCTACTCTGTAACAACGGTGGAGAATAATATTTCCGCCGCTGCCGGAATCACCGCTGGACATTGCGGAACACTAACGACCATTCAATTATTAATATACTAACAATAAATAATATGCATAATATTAATTAATTAATGCGAACAATACGGATTGACGAACGCGCGTTGTATTGTACGCAATACCGAGGGATACTAAACTGCGCTGTCGAGACCGTGAAGTGACACTAATTTGAAACGCCGCGGTGTGAAAACAGCCGGCAACTTGAGTTGTCCGTTCGCCCGGTCTCCCGGTATCCGGGCGATTACAGTTTTTTTTGTGTATCCCCGTGTGAGGGGGGCCTTACAGAACCAGTGCAGTGTAGTGGCGGACTTGAGAGGGTGCAATATGACCCCCGGGATTGTTTCGGTTTTTAGATTCGGAGCGTGGCGAGTGGTCTATTGGTTTTACTATGATATTGCGTGTTGGGTTTTTTTTTTTTCCCCGCGTCTGCGAATAACTTTTCTACCGGAACAATTACTCCGAAGTATAAACTAAAGCGCCTTATTCAAAAGATGATTTTCTTTTGTTGTTGCATTCAGGAGGTAATTTTTTCGA